GATGGATGGATGTTATTACAGGAAGGCTCAAAACATTTATAATAAGAAATAACTGCATTTCAAAACTTACAAACCTTTGCAGCACACCGCATTGGAGGCAATTTACACTCCCGACTATTTCATTTAATGCTGTACATGCATTGTAACTTGAAACAGTTTTTTACAGAACACTGTATCATCACTGTTAGTGAGCGCTCCAAGCAGTTTGCTGTTTATGATTACCGTGGGTTCGTACAATAGCAAAGTTACATTGGTTTCCTATGAGGAACGTCAGCTGCTTTCATTTCATTCTGGCACATATAAAACTGATTCCTTGGTCACACTTAATTTGTTGACTGAGCGCCATAGTGCAAAAGAGCAATGCAAACCACTGACGAGAGCATTGGTTGACAGATTCCATAACAGTTCAACATAAACAGCACAAGAGCTAAAGCATGTAAACAGCAGGGCGTATTTCTTGTGTTCCTCGCATCCCTGTTTGGTCTTGAATGGGCCGACCAGTCTACGCCACAAAAACTCAAAGGTGGCACCACAGTAAGTGGCGGGTGGGAAGGATTCCATTCGTTCTGTAGGGAGGTTGCTCATTCTTTTATCTTCCATAGGTTTACTTGGTCTCCAACACACTGACAGGTGTGGGATGAAACCAACTGACTTAATCTTCATGAGCCAGTAGCCAGACTTTATTGATGGTATATCACTGGAGGGGACATAAAACCATATAAAACCACTGCGTGCTATTTACAACCAATGTGGGAAAACGGTGTACTTCATTATCTATGTATAATGAAGCTCAGCACAGCTTTAGAGCTTGTCCAGAAGAGTGCTTCCACATTGCTGTAACACAGCTCTTACCTGAGCATGTTACTCACTGTGACTGAGACAGCTGCTGCTGCTATAAGGCGTATATGATTTACTCATGAAAGTGGCCACTTTCATATATCATTTTAGTAAGAATCCAAAACATACAAGTTTCATTTATATACTTTTTCTAGGGATATTATATCTGTTTTCACTCTTGTATGCTTTTCATACAAATTTCACTCACAGATACAAACTTTATAAGGTTTATATATATCTTTTCCATAAGGGTGATGGTGCTTGCATCTACAAAAAGGATGCAGTCCCTTTTTTATCCTTCAAAGCTTTCAACATCTGCCTATCCTTCTGTCTCTAGACTGGCAGTCCTCTCTCCATTGCTCCCACCATAGTTTCAGATGTTCAGGCAATGGGTCATCCCATCCTGTGCTTTGACATCTCCTGCAGGATTCTTTTTCTACTGAGAAGATGGGTAGTAGTACATCCCAGTGGGTTGTATGTGGATGCAATAGTGGACAATATTCCACACTGTATTACAGGTAGTCGAGGGATACCAACATGATGGGAGAAGGTCTTCACCATGTCTGTCTTGAGGGAAGATGATAAACCAACAACTGTGTTCTGCCCTAAATGTTTGAACAGTGTAACCCTCATTGTCTTTGCAAAGTATCACTCGTCTGGGTGCTAGTGCTCTGGGGCAGTTGCAGCCAATCAGGAGACCTGTTTCACTATTGAGGGGTTAATCTATGGTTGGTGATAGGCAGGAGGGAGGTGGGTGTGTGCTGCAGAGGTGTAACCCCTCACATGGAGACCAGATACTGTTTTACTGTGCTTTCTCACAGAAGTGTCACAGTGTTGACATCCTTCACACCTGACCTTGCTTTAACCTCCTAGGACCTGGCATCCACACATGCGGACATCACATTTTAGGATGTCTGGATGAAAATATCCACCACTTATATTATACACTGTTCTATCGAAATTTAAAACGAATGTCCTCATATGTGGATTTTTTCTCAGAAACGAAAATCAGGTAGTAAAAAAAAAAAAAAAAAAAATAAAAATCAGGTAATTCTTTGTTTTTACATTCATCAGGTCCCAATCAGCCCAAATAGCAAAGAGAAATTAAAAATGCTGCTGTGGAAGAGTTCAGGTCTTAGGAGGTCAAAAAGCCATAGCACAGCTCATTAGCCGTCAAATACGTCCTTCTGTCTTCTAGAGACCTTTTTATGAGGTTTGTGCAGTTGTGAAGCTGATGTGAGTTTGGTGTTCCCCATGTGATCTGGTTGATGTCTTGTCACAGTGTACATTTGTTTTGGTGCTTGGTCCTTTTAATGTCCTTTAGCTTCTCACTGTCGCTGCGTAACTTGGGCGAAGAGCAGAGTTGAAGGTAACTGGGTTCCAGATGATTTCCACAACAGGGATGACACTATGGCACTGAAACTGGGAAACTCTCCACTTCTATTAAAGCTTTTGTAACAGGCAGTTTCTGATTTTTCTCACTGTCATTCAATATTTCCAGGCCCTTTACATAAGGCATTGCTGCCATTTATGGAGTCTGTAAAGTTCCTTCGGGCAGGTTTGATAGCTTCTCTCTAAATGCTCTTTGAAAAACAAATGCCTGACCGTATTGTTGATTATGTTTTTTCCAGAACATGCCTTGTAGACATTACAAGTGGGGCCACCAATGCATTTTTTAAAATGTATTTTATCAGCAGCAGAGATGCCCTTTTGGTCTATCAGTGACATTAAGGAGGTTTTCTGTTGGAATTGCTCACCACTGAACACTGTTGGTTCCGGTGTGGGTAGCCTGCTCAGCGTTATACTGTCCTAAACACTTTGTGCTAGTAGAGCAACAGCAGGAGATGGAGATCCCATGGATCTGTCACATGGGTGTGGTGTGCTCTTAGCTGACTGGATACGACCAACCTGTAGTCTTTCTCCGTTATAAGCTTCTTTCTTATGCTCTTCTTCCAGAGTTTGTAATATGTCCCTTTGCTTTCTTTTCTCTTGCACAGTTTGGCTTGTTTTGATGCAATATGGTCCCACTGCAGCACAATATCATGCTGCAGTGGGACCATTGATATCTGCACTAAGATCTCCATCAGCACCTGTTAGCCTTTTATATGTGATTTTGAAAAAACAGTTACTGGCTTACATGCATCAGTGCTTTTGTCTCAAATCCACGTGACTTCTTATGTCAGCATAGAGTTTCATAATGTCAGGGTCATCCTTTCCTTATTTTTCTCTAAATTGTCTGCAAGTGATGACGAGCATGTTTCGGTTCTGTCTGACTTCAGCTTTTCTCTTGGTGATAAGGTAATACGTCTATTTTTGATTTGTTTTTTAAAACGTCTCCCTTGATGTTAGTAAGAATTTTTTCTGTTGACATTCTGTTGTGTTCAGAGCAGCAAGATTCATCTGTAGTGCTTTGGATGCTAGACTGCAGATATGTCAGCGTTTTTACTTATTATCAGTTGTTTGCTTTATACCCTCCTTCTTTGTTCACTTGCATTTTGAAGCAAGCTTTGTTCATTAATGTCCTCAGGACTCACTGGTGAAGCTTGTATATTGTCCATTTTCTGTGCAGCCTCCTCTAGTCTTTTGTCACTTCAGTTTTTAGAGCACGTGCTGCCACCTGCAGGCCGTCATGAATGTACACTTTGACATTTTGAGACACTTTCACAGCAGCTTCTAGCCAAAGAACACTTAAGGCTAAGCTGACGGATTTTGTTGTGTATAGCAGTTTAACTCACGACTGTCACAGAACAAGAGCTGAAGAAACTTTAATCATCCATCCATCGTCATCCGCTTTGTCCGGGGTCGGGTCGCGGGGGCAGCAGCCTAAGCAAAGAGGCCCAGACCTCCCTCTCCCCAGCCACCTCCTCCAGCTTGTCCGGGGGAATACCAAGGCGTTCCCAGGCCAGCCGAGAGATATAATCTCTCCAGCGTGTCCTGGGTCTGCCCCGGGGCCTCCTCCCGGTGGGACATGCCTGGAACACCTCACCCAGGAGGCGCCCAGGAGGCATCCTTGCCAGATGCCCGAACCACCTCAGCTTTAATCAATAAAAGAAAAATCCATTAAAAACTATTAACAAGATAAAAATTGCCATTTTTTGATGAAACTAAACTAGGTGTTTGCTGTCTGTGATTCAGTTCATGCCCTGAAGTATTTGGCCATTTTAGTTACATCTTCAACACCACTGTTAATTGTTAGCATTAATAAAAACTACCGAGTGCTTCTCAGTTTATTTTGTTGACTGGACAGGAACACATTCCCAAATGCTTCTTTTTTCTGAGACCATATTAGTGCAACAGAGTCTTCCAAACACTGTTTGATAAACAGAAGGGCCTGCTGTTTTTATTTCACCAAGTTTATGAGAAATCATAACGCTGGTCAGATGGCTCCATCCCTGGGTATGCAAAGCTTGGTTCAAAAGTTCTTGTTGCTAGCAAAGGTCCAGATGTTCATTCCCACTGCATCAGTCAAGTTCTTGCAATCTTTTGCATGTTTAGTTCCATAATAGCAAATTCATTCTTAAACCTTAATCTCGTCCAATGTCTAATCCTTAAATGCTGCAGTCTGGTCTCCACAAGCTAATCATACCTTAACATGTGACTGAATTTGATGTCAGTTCCACATCTGTCTGGTTTTGCTTGTTGAAGCTCTTATTAGACAATAATGTTGCTTGTGATTTTCAGGTGGACACAAATGAACTGTATGATGTGGTGAACTATAACACCAAACAGATGTCTGGGGTGAGCGTGCAGGCACTGCGGACTCTGTGGGATCAGAAAAGTGATCATCACAGCCATGTGGGTACTAATCAAAGGATTCAGCAGCAAAATGACCCTCCTGCAGTGCAGCCACCCATACCACCGAAATCCACAGCCAGAAGGCTGACGGGGACGGTGTCTGTGGATGCAATGTCTCTTTCCCAGGTAAGCTGGACACTTGAACTGTCCTTTTTGAAGAATACAGAATTATAAGTGCTGTAATTACATAACATGTAATTAAAAGTGTGCATCTCACCACATACAAAGCTTTATAGTCAAAATACTTCTTAGGGAATTACAATTTTATATTTAATTTTATTCAATAGCTCAAGAATCATGTAGGAGAAAATTTGTGTAAAACACTGCACGTGCTAATGTGTGCAGGTATGCAACACAGTTTCACAATAATTAAATGTTTGCTTTCAGTGGCAGCATCCAACAGCAAAATCAGTTTAATCCAACTTCACAGTTAGAGCTCATTTTGTGCATCAACACGACAAAGATTGCAAAGTGACATAATATGAGAGCTATATTTCATATGTATATGATAAGAACTGCATTACAAACATGGACCAAAAATACAGTAATTCTTAACATTTGTGAAACCTGCATAAATATGACCTAAAATGTGACATGACCTGTAATACAGACAAATAAAGCACTGATCCAAAAAAAAGAGAAAATGATCCAGTGTTACATTTCTGTAAGAGAAAAGTGTGAACCTTTCAGTATCGGGTGTGATGCTTTTGAGCAGCAAGAACTGCAACTAAACAGCTACTGCGCTGTTTGTCTGGACCTGAGAGCTGTTACACGTTTATGGCACGAACCACTCTCCTGATATTTTACTGTAGAATTTTCTGATAACGTTTAGAACTTATTAGTTTGTCAGTGATGGGAGCTATGCTTTCACCTTACAGTCATGCCATCCAGTATGAGAGAGGCCTGTATTTAAGTTACTCTTACTCTATTACATGCCTTGCTGTTGAAGAGATCTTTGTTGGGCCAGGGTAACAGTGGTCTTGAATCTTCTGTTTAGCCACTGTGTATTTGAAGTACACAGAATCTGGTTTGGTGTGCTTTAATTAACTTCAGCAAACAGGTACAAAGGTTTACTAATGTGTGGAAAATGTGTTTCCTTACTCGACTCCACACACGTACAAAAACCCCACAATTTTATATATGACACAGAACGGTGTTTTGCAGCTTCCTGCATATGTACAGCCTAATAAGAGCGCGCTTGAACAGCCTTTCATGGCCATAGAATTACTTGATGGAGACTTTCAGCAGGACAGTGCACCTGCATGTCACTTTTGCTAAAATCACAAATACATCAAAGTCCTGCCTGTTCTGAGGTGGTGTTTAAATCTACTCAGTTTTATTGAGAATAAAATCTCAGACTCTGTTTCAGTTTCACCTGTAGATAATACTAGCTCTTTAGATGAATGTTAAATATGTTGTGTAATATCTACAGTTCCAGTTTGCTGTCCTGCCATCTGGCAGATCCACTGTTAATTTTGGTGACTGAATTTTTTCTGATGAAAGCAAAATGATAAGTAAAATAAAAAATAATGCAGAAGGATAAAAATGATGAAATGAATTGACACATTTTTCAACGAGTGAAAATGAGATGGAAATATTCTGGAGAGATGAGAACAAATCATAAAGAAAGTTGAGTATAAACGTGACGCGGGTTTGGAAGTGATTCAATCAGAAGTAATCTCCTTGTTTGCTAAACTTTCACGCACATTGATTTGCCTCAGGGAACAGTATAACTTTCCTATTTCCCATGCTCTGTAAAAACACAACAACATCTCAACACTTGAACGTTTAACGAACATTTGATTTCATGGAAAATAATTTGCTTTTGGAGCAACGTGGTCAAACTTGGACACTTAATATTTTTGTTAACTGAATCAACTTTAGATTAAGTCAACTATAATCTTACGATATTTAGTTGATCTTGATGCCTAAATTAGACTAAAATTCATTGTTGTTCGTCTTTTCATTCAGAAGACTAAAAGTCAAAATTTTCTGTGAAAATGACTCAACGTCCAGTCAGTTGTTCTTCTTTTCCATCGTGCCCATGTGCTTGGTAAAAGTAGATCATGTGATTCTTGGGCTTGGGTCTTCATCTTGCAAATATAGAGCATCTTGAGGCAAATATTGTTATGAATTGGTGCTAAATACAATAAAATCTAATGAAATTTATTTAATTTAAAGAAATATTAGTGAATTGTGTAACTGGACTACTTTGTCACTCTCATTTTTATTAAGGGTATGCCTCCAGGACCAAAAAGAGGGATTCCTCTAGGATTTACCCTGAGTGGTTCCTTGCCTGATACAACTTCACATCCAATGAAATCCCAGATGGACGCATACAGAGCAGATGGAATCATGGCAAACACAAATTCAGCAGTAATGTCTAACAAAGACTCGGTTGATGCAACTGACACAATGTACCCTGGTGATCTTTTTCCTGGCATCACAACCTCTCAGTCGACACAAGTAGAGAGCAGGAGCAAATCCCTACCACAACTGGACAACAACACCACAGAGGAGGAGTACTCCAACCAGCTCAGCAGCCTGTCTCTGACATCGCCTGTTCCAGGAAAGAGGGTTACCTGCCAAACCTATTCCCTCCACGCACCCCATGAAAGCGTGATCAGGTCAGAAGAGCACAATGATGACCAGGAAATATCAAGATCCAACCCTCTGTACCAGACCTCTGAGGGGTCTGAAAGCCGTTCAACCCAGCGAGGAGATGACATGTATGCTGAGGTTCCTCCGGCGACAACTCCTGCTAGGCTGCGAGATGACACCTACGAGCAGATCCCTGGTGAGGCAGCCGCTGTTCAAGGCAACACTTATGAGACGCTGGACGACATGAAGACCAAGAAGTCAAAGTCCACCTGGAATAAAAGTGTAAGCCTGAAAGAATACTATGTATTCCAGTTCTTACTGTAAGCAGCAAAATATTAATATATGAACTTTTCTTATGTTGTGTTTGCAGAACATGAAGTGGAAGAAATTCCTACCTGACTACAAGAAGAAATAAATGCAGAATCTGTTGTGGAGAACCTCCTTAATATAAACGAGATGAACATTGCTCCTCCAGTTATTTGTTCTTATATGCAGATGACTGTGTGCTGTGAGTGACATAGGGATAGAGATAAAGTCAAGATAAGAGGCTCACACATAGGTAAGATTAAGAAAATCAAAGCTACAAAAAACCCTGAGCTGGACAGACGAGGGTTTTTTGGGACTGAACCCAATCACAAATGTTTTTAAATCAGAAAGGATTGGTTTTGTCTGAGGTTGGGTCCTTGGATATGAACAATGTCTAATCTGTAACACCTGCTGTTAAATACTTGGATTTTATTGTTGACAAGAATCTCAGCACTGCTGTCATGGATTTGAATGGGAAAAAGGTTTGAAATCATTACGATAGGTCCTGATCTTAGCCCTGTTTTAACTCACATCATCAGATCCTTTGAATCAAACTCAGGGCTGTAACGCACAAAAACATCCATAAATATTTTTATTTACTCACAATTTATTACAATTACTTATTTTCAGCAGATTAGACATGTGGTCTCGTTTGTCTCCGACCCTTATTGTGAAGCACTTTGTGGTTTTTATCCTGTGTAGAGTGCTCTTTAAATCAATAAAGTAAAGACCAACTGACAATGAGGCGGGTGGTTATGGGCTAACATTACAACAGCTAATATTAGGCTTCCGTGTCCTAAAAATCACTTTCCCTCTAAACAGGTTGAATATATTGTCACATCGTGTCAGGATTAATTTTCCAGGTGTCTGAGTCAAACAATGTTACATCACAGTTTTATGAACGCCAGCTAACAAAACGGCAGCGCTTACTGACAGAAAGATTCAGGATATCCTGAGCAACTCAATTCAGTATTGTCATCAGATAGAAGTGAGCTCTACTGATTGATCCACCCATCCTGGAAAGATTTCTCAGCTTTACAGCCTTCTCCAGAGTAAATAGACATATTGACATAGTAAACTTGGCTATCTGAGTTGAAATAACAAATATGTGAAAACAGTATGCCACTTCCTAACCAATGAACAGACAACATTTTTCAAAAGGGTATCCACTCCAAGAAAGGAGGCGAGATGCTGAAACAAACTGATACGTACTCGGCCCTGGATCATTAAGGGCAACTGTGCTGCAGAGACAACCATACCTAAGTACACCCAGTACTTTGAAGAGCTTAGAAATGCTCCTGTTGTTATTTTTCTACGTGTCCTTTGGCATCAGTGTCTTGTCTTGTGGTTTTAGGTAAAGTAAACTGACAAACACCAGGGTAAAAAGTGAAGCCAGTGCAAAATCAACAAAATCAACAAAAATCACTGTACTGATGTCATTTATGAGATGACCATGCTGTTTGTGCTTCTGGAGGTGTGGGACCTGATGGACCAACCAGAGGGCAGCAGGTCGAACATGTGGTGGGTGGGGTGCAAGGAGTCACCTGTGATTGCTTCCAGGTAAGCAGAGGGCAGCCAATGATTTTTTTGGGGCAGTTCTCAGTAGTGTGTACCAAACACCAAGGCAGCAGGAGAGCACGCTCTTCACTGAGGAGCGGTAGAAGGCCAGCGGCAGCTTCTAGGTTATCCTTTCTCAAGACACGGAGGAAGTGCAGCCAGTGCAGGTCCGGGGGGACAAAGATATTGGTTGGGTGGCTTGGGGTACAGTCATAGATGTATAGGGCACACAGTAGGGGCTGAGAGCGTAGTCCTGTGAGGAAATCTTTGATCAAGGAGCAGGTGGCAGGGGGGTGTGGAGGTGGTCTAATTTGGATTCAGGATGTCTGGGATTATAGTGCTGAATTCTGAGCTGTAGTCCATGAAGAGCATCCTTATATAGCTCTTCCTGTTTTCAAGATGGGTCAGCGCTCTACAGATGGGTCAAGGGATGAGGGTAGACAGTCCCTGATGTGCAGCGACACTATCTGCTCGAAGCACTTCATGACTACAGACGTTAGGGCTATCGGTCTGTAGTCGTTGAGCCTGTGTAGACCAGACATTTTGGGGATGAGAATGGTAGTGGAGGCCTTCAGAGAGTGGTGTGAGTCAGGGAGAGGTTGAAGAGCCTGGTGAGGATCCCCCCAGTTGGTCAGCACATTTGTAGTTGGTGAGGGCTTGGATGCCTCTCCACACCTGGTGCAGGTTGTTATCAGTTAGGAAGCCCTCTGTCCTCCTCCTGTAAACCTCCTTGGCCTGTTGACTGTAGCAGTGCTGTACAGGTAACTGTCTCCTCAGCCTGAATTACAAGTTCAACACAATGGACTCGAGTGAAGTGGATGCAGGAGGGTGACGAGATAGCCTAAAACATAGTTAAAAATGAGACAAGGAAGCAAAACTAAATGCAAAACAGAGGAGACATCTAGCTGTACAAAATAAAATGGGCAGTAAACTTGTGGAACAGAGAAAAGACACTGGAAAAGCTAGACTAACCAAAACAGAAAGGATTACTTAATCAATATAAACACTCCATGTAAATATTTATTTAAAAATATTAATTAAAAACACTCAATACAAATGCAGTTAAATCAGCACAACATTTATTTTCAAATACAAAGAAATACAAAAAAATACATATCAGCTGGGCACTTTTCTGCTGACTAATAAACAAGCATATTTCCATTACTTTAGCTTGTTATTTAAACATTTTTTAAATATGATAAAATTTAAATTTTATATATTTGGTTTATTTGAAACTTTAATCTTCATCTTCACTGACCACAGTAAGCACACCATCTTTGATGGAGGGTTCATGTCTCCTGGCATTAAAGGTTGGAGAAGGTTGAGGGAGGGGCATTTATAGATTGGTGTTGATAGATTTTAAATTTGTAAAATGTTAAATGCAATTACCCATGACCGTGCTGGATAGCTAGTTAGCTAGCACATTTACTATTAGCTAAAGTGGTTTTTGCTGCGCAGAACACATGAATTTGGACTTCTGAGGGTGCAGTTGAGCGCTTGCATTCACTGATCTGAGAGGTTGTAACCACAGAGTTATAGCTGTAAGCAGTTAAAAAATTAAATAAATAAATGAGTAAAAACTGAATTGCAAACATTAATCTACACATTTATGTATATTTTCTCTGTAACTATACATTTAAAACGCAAGTGAAAATACAAGTTTAAATTTTTTTTTTACACATTATCTCTTTTTTTGACAGCTCTCGCATTTTGCAACGTATTTACTTCCATATATCGGCCCTAAAGGAAAAGTTGATAGTTGGGAAGTATATTTTTCACCACTAGATGTCTGATGTCAGAATTATGTCGTTTTTCTGCGGCAGCGAATGAGAAGAAGAAAATACGGAAGTACGGCTCCCAAACACATTCCCGTTGGAAGAGTAAAATACTGCAGATTGCCGTATTTGCTTTGAAACGAAGCATATCTTGGACTAAATATTCAATCTCAATAAGACGATGGGGACTAGAGACGATGAATACGATTATTTATTCAAAGGTAAAAATGTGAATTTCTCGTTAGTGTCGTAGCTTTTAGCCGATAAGCTAAACAGGCCAGCTGGTCAGCTGTCAGGCTAACTAAGCCAGCGTCAACCTTTGTGCTGTGGTTGATTTTCACCGAGCTTTCAGGAAATTGTAGGGAAATTGATTTGAGGGTGTATACCTCTAAACGGCCTTCACTTGAGGGTTGGCGTTATAGTGCTATTTTCTTTACGTACGGTGTATTGAAGTGATGGGGCGAAAAGAAAAGAACATTAGCTGTTAGCTACTGTTAGCTTGTTGATGGTAGGCGCGGACACGCCTAGCGTTAACCGTTATCACGTTATCTTAGGTCGAGCTTGACAAGCTACAGAAACTTGTGTGAGGATTGGAAAGAATGCGTTAAGAGCTGCTTCATGAACACGTGACCACAATTTTAAAAATGACCCAAATCAGTCTTTTCGCCATTATGTTATTTTTAAAGTATTTTTATTACTGTGAATGTGTAAAATTTGCTTAAAAAGTCAGGAAGATTGTGTTTGGTTTACTATTTTTGTGTCATAACAATGCTTCTTGGTAATAAGTCGTGTACTGTTGGAATGCCTTTCTATTACTCCTTAAATGGTATCGCATGTTTGGGTTGCACCCATGAAGAACTATGCCAATGTCAAACAACTATCAACTCTTGTTTTGAGCTTCTGGTACGCCAGGTATGGACAATCTGATGTCTGATTAGCAGGGCATGAACCTGATCAGTCAACATGTTTGACTGATCTGGATGAGATCCATGTCATAGGGCAACTTCAAGTTGGTGTTTTACAAGACTAAGTTTCAGCATTATTTTTGAGTGAGTCCTAGTGCCATCTCCAAATTGAAGGCCAGGTCCCATATGAGGGTGGATATCAGAGACAGGCTGTGCAGTCAGTGTCCCAACAAGACAACATCACAAACACACTGTCAGTGTGGTACTCAGTCTTCTACAGATTTGCAATCAAAGTTTGGAGGACAATATTTCTTATGGTTTTGTAACCAGACAACCTGGAACAGACTGCCATGACTGCCCTTCACTGATAGTTTCATTTAGTGTTGATAATGGGTGCAGTTGAACCCTGAATGTGTATAGGAATGTTACGTTCAGCAATGAGTCCAGATTGTGCTTACTGCAGTTGGCTCATAGTGTCAAGTGTCAGAGTATGGAGAGGATGTGGAGAACCCTGTGCTGATTTATGCACCGATACGGTGAAAGCTTTTGGTGGAGGCAGTGTGATGGTGAAGAGCAGCATCTTCCTCAGTGAAAAAACAAAGCTTCTCATCACTGGTAATCTCAGTGGAGCTAGATATCAAGATGAGTTTCTGTAACCAGTGGCAATCCATATCTCCACAGTCTGGGAACAATCTCTGTCCTCCAAGACGCTTAACCCACACAGAGTGGAGTTTATCAGAGACTAAATCCAGAATATAGGTGTGGAGAGCATGGAATGACCTGCCAGCAGTCCTGATGTCAACACAGCTGAATGCTTGTGGCATCAGCATGGAGGGTGCTAGTCCTGCCAGAGTAACCAACACAACCACACTGGCTGCCTTGTAATAAATATGGGTTGAAGGATGCAATCCCACAGCAGTGTGTGACCAAGCATGAGGAGAAGATGAGGCTGTCGTGGCTGTTTGGTTCTTCCACATGCTACTGAAGTCTCTGTTAAATGAATAAATTGTGAAATTGCCGGTGTGTCTTGTTTCTTCACACTTTCAATCCAATAACTGAATGACGAGTCAGCAGCAGAATATGTCTGACGTTGGCATTGGAAGTTTTGGCAAGTTGTTATTGGTGTAACCCACATACTCACCTTTGTTACTTAACCCACAACTCTGTCTTCCTTTCACCATCAGGCAGCATTTAAGCGGAAATAAACAGGTTCTTTAATGGTTTAAGATTTATTGCCAGGCAACATTCTTCCATTAAAGAAATAATGAACCGAACACTAATTTCATTACTTTCTGTGCTAAGTTATATATTTGTACCCACACTAGTTTCTGTGATAGGCCAACAGGACAGTTCTTTTTATTTTATTTTTTAAAGATTTAGTGGCTTTTTTGAACAACCAACAACCTCTGAGATAAACAGCAGACTTTCACATATGGCAAAATTCACTTTAGATATTTGGGATCCCACCACTCTCCTCATTTTGCTGTCACATTCCTGTTTATAAAATGTGCCTTATCCTGCTGTGTGCTTTTGAGGTCCAAGTTGAAGCTGTCACAAAATTATTAACACGCTTTATGAGTTGTTTTTTCTGTATTCGTTGCAGTATGCTGACTACTAACAGAGATACTACTAACAAAGACAGACAGGCTTTCTCTGCCTTTGCTTGTTCAACAAAACCTCATTGAAGTTTTCAGGCGGGTGACCTCATACCTTTCCTATTGAAGATAACGGGAATCACAGAGTTGATTATCAGCTTTCTCTGTTACACCGGGCTTTCTGCTTCAGGATCTGTGCATGCTCACAGCAAAATGGGTGTTTTGTAGGTTATGATTCTTCTTTTGGGTAGAAAAGGATCCCCAAGATTGCTGCCTGTGCTACTCAAAACATTATTATGACTTCTAAGGTGACGGCTGCACATTAGAGCGCTTTAAACTGAACATATTGTGTGAGGTTATATATGTGCACATGTCTGGGATCAGTCCAAAGTACCTACCCAACAGTCGTTGCATTTTTCTTTTATGTTCCTGTGGTTGGAACATGATTAACGGTGAAGGCCACCATAAAGGCCCTGCAGTGGGAAAACATCCTCATAACATCCCAGAATTTCATAAAACACGAACCGCTTTGTTCTCTTACAGTAGAAACATGGCTAGGCTTTTTGAAAATTGT